CGCCCTGCGTGTCCTCGCCGACGTGCTCCGCGTGGGCGTTGCCGTGGGGCTCTGCGTCGCATCCTGTCGAACCTGGGAGACCATCCTCAGGGTTTTCATCTGTCTCGTCCTCGCCCATCCTTGCTGAACCTGGGAGGCCATCTCCAGGGTTCACATCTGTCATCTCTGTGGGCCACGTCCTCCACTCCTCTGTGTCTGCCAGCTTGGTCCAGCCCTTCAGCATGTAGCGCCTTGAGTCGCAGGTCGGCTGGAGTCGGCACGGCGCATGCAGCTTGTCCGAGACTAGTTCTGTCGCCGAGCTCGCGCATGAAGTGCTGAACCATCTTCTTTGCCTGCCCAGCCATCTCAGCGGCTGCGTCGGATGCGATACGTTGCCGTGGAACTCGATGCATCTGCCTGCTGCTGGTGGTGGGCCTCCGCACTTCTGCTCGAACCACTCCTCTTTGATACTGTTGAGTGCCGTCGTCGCCGTGACCGATTGGTTGCAACACTTGCATCTCCGTCCTCGTCCGCATCGAAGCTCACCAGGTCGTGGGTGGTTGCTGGCCGTCTGCGGGAGTCTTGTCTGAGGTAGTCCGCTTAGACCTTTGCCAGTGCTCTTCGCTGTCGCGTGTCTTGTTTGCGTGCTTGCTTCAAGTCTCTGTGTTCTGTCGGTTTTCTGTCGATGGCGTCCTGCGTGCAGGCTGCACTGCGCGCTCGCACCAGGCTCGCCGTCGCTCTGACCCACTCGTAGCAGCTCATTTGGTTTTCCGAGATGGCGTGTTGCTTTGCTTCTATGTCCGCTAGCTTGTCCGCGTTCTTGTTTCCTTCCCATGCTTCTCTTGGGATGTCCTTCGCTTCGGCCTCTGACTCCGACAGGTGGCTGTTCAGGTGGAACATCTGAATACGCTCTCTTCCTCCTCCTCTCGCCTCGATTGCCTTTTTCACTCTGTGCCAGAGGTCGCAGTTGGCTCCCGTTCTGTCTTTGCGTTCCTCTCTTCTCGCGTTCCAGCCCATGATGGTGATCTCGCTGTCTGTCCAGTAGGTCAGGCCGCCGCTGGCCGACTCCAAGCAGTTGATGCACGCCCACAGCTCCGCACGGCTGTTCGACTGCCTGGGTCCAGGCAGTGGGCCGTACTTCGCCGCCTTGGTCGGGAAGCTTCTGGTGCCATGGCCCGTGTCCAAGACCACCCAGCTCCATCCGCAGCGTCTGGATATCTCGTCGTTGCTGTACTCTCCTCCTGACCCGTCGCCGCTGGCGGTGAGCCTCTCACCCTCTGGAGCGTGCAGTCTACCGTCTTGGGTGCACCTCCCCACCAGCGTCTCCTGCTCCGTCGTGTCGCACGGTGGTGGAACCGTCCAGGCCTTTGGCGTGAGCCCACGTAGCCCGAACGCTGGTACCCCCCCGCGCCTCGCTCGGCTCTGGCTACGAGCCCTGCGGTCTTCTCGATCGCCTCTAAGTTCTTCCTCGCCAAGCAGCTGCCCCAGATGCGGTGGAAGTCGTCTTCCCGCTGGCCGCACTCGCACAGCTCGTCCTCCGTGTTGAACTCCTGGCTCCTCCTCGCCTTGGTCAATGTTCCTGCGCATGTCGCCGCCAGCAAGGCCCCGTATGCCTGGTGCTTGCCGCGCATTCTGAGGGACCCGAGGTGCCTTATCGTGTCCGAGCAGTCCACGCCGTTCTCCATTCCTCCTCCGTTGTGGTGTGCTGCTGCTTGGCACCACAGTCTGTGTCCTCATGCTCTCGAGCAGTACCTCGATGATAACCTCTGGGTCTCCGTCCTCCTCTCCTGCAGGGGAACGCCACTGGTTGCCGTCGCTGTCTATCCAGATGTCGGGCCCTCTTGGGTCCCAGCCGAGCTCCCAGAGCAGAAGGGTGATGCTGCCCATCACGCCTCTGCGCTGCTGCCAACGTCGTCCGGGTTCCGCCCGCAGGAGCCTGAAGTAGACCTTCGGCCATGCTTTCCTCGCTTGCTCTCGTAAGTCCTGGCTCTTGGCCCAGAGGTCGAACTAGGCTCGGAGCTGGCTGCGCGTCATCGAGATCGCGGGGTCCACGCCCTCCAGCGCCAGGAACGTGGTGAGGCAACGGCCTGGCCAGGCCCTCCTGAGAGCCTGCGCGTACCTCCTCGCCTGTCTCAGCGCCCACGGGGAGAGCCCATGTGCGGCGACGCCGTACACGAGCGAGGCAGCGGGCCCTTGGTGTGCCACCCCCCGTCTCCCGTCTCCTCCTCAGCTTCAGCTTCCTCAGCTTGGTGCCGACCGCTCCGAATCTCTTGTTCGCGTCCTTTGCCCTCTTCGCGTGCGTGGGCCTCTTGGCGGTGCCCCTCGCAGCCCTGTCGTATCCTAGGTCTCGTCCTTCTGTGGCCGCCTTGACCGCGATCCCCAGCTTGCTGAGGCGCGCCTTGACTTCGAGCGTGGTGTCGAAGTTCGAGGTGAAGATGAGCGTCTTATCCGCTAAGCTTAGCCCATGCTGCGCCAGCCCCAGTTTCAGCTTGCTCGTCGCCAGCGTGAGCTGTTCTGCCACTGTTTCGTTGCTTCCGACAGTATTGATGCTGCTATCATCGAACCAGGCTCTCGGCATGGGCTTGGGCAGCGCTGTGGCCGAGTCGACCATGTGGCCGAGCACCGCGTATACTACCGTCTTGGCCACATTGTTCGAATGCCTCGGGCCCGCCAGGATGGGTCTGTCCGCCAGCATCGGCTCCGAGTAGGCGCTCTTGCACCTGGAGATGTGTGCCCCTGAGTGCCGGAGCAGCACGGAAAGGGGCCTCGGGCAGAAGTTCAGCTTGAGCGCCTCTGGGATCAGTGCGTCGATGCGCATGCTGCCGTAGAACTTCTCGGTGTCCGCCAGCGTGCAGCCCTGGAAGATGCCGAGCGCGTCGCGGCACCCGTCGGAGAGGATCCTCCGCAGGGCTTCCCTTTTGCAGCTGTTGCCTGCCACCGCCGCGTCCCATTCCCGCCCCCGTCGCTTTGCCCACGCTCTCGCCGCTGGCCTGTGCAGTAGCTCCAAGCATCTCACCAGCTGCGGGAGCAGCGCTAGCGCACGGTCGCCCTTGGCGGGCTTGGGAATGATCATGGCCAGCGCGTTCAGGAGCTGCCGGGGCCACATCAGCTTCTGCTCGCACTCGTTGAACAGGGACACGATTGCCTGTCTGCCCTCCTTTGGTAGCCGACGGATGTCGCTACAGCTGAGCTCGTCGACGCCCGGGCCTTTGTCGGGCTCGCCCGTGAGGGCGAGGTCCAGGTCATCGACTGTCCACTGTGGCGCCTCCTCGTCTGCCGCTCTCCTCCTGAGGTCGTCGAGCAGCTGCCTGTGTTTGTTGTGGGCGACCTCCTCGCACTGCCAGGTCTTCGCGAACTCAACTGCCTTGGCGCCCACGATCTCCAGCGGGCTGTCCGTCACATCCGTCGGCGTCGCCAGCTCCTCTTCTCTCCTGCAGGGCGGCTTGGTGATCCTGTGGTGCGCGCCTGGCTTCTGCTCGGCCGCTGCCAGCCGCTGCCCGAAGCCTCTCGCGCTTTCCCTCAGGTCGCGGTTCACCGCTGCCCTCCGTTCCTGCTCTGCCTCCTGCGCCATGCCGTCGACGATCTCCACGTCGAGGTCCTCCAGCGCTGCCAATCGTTGCCTCCAGATACTGCGGTGCAGGAGGGCTGTCTCCGTGGCCTCTTTGCCTGCCTGGGGCATGACGTCGTAGGCCAAGGCTCGGCCTGCTCGTGCTAGCTCTCGCTGCCGGGCGAGGCCGTTGCTTCTCCTCTTTAGCTTTGTCATCGACGAGAGAACCACTTCGGCGCGGGCCCACCAGTCTGCGTTGTACGCCCTGTACTTATGCCTCCTCTCGCCGTGCTCTCTGGTGTTGGTGGCCTTCAGCTCGTAGGCTTTGCCGCGCCCCGTGAAGTGGTGCCTGTCCACTGGGTCGATGCGGTACGCCATGCAGTAGAACCTCTCGAGTGTGCCTATGGTGTTCGCGAAGCTTGCTCCTAGCTCCTTGGCCGACGTCTCGTCCACCATGAAGGCCGCGCAGCTGCTGATGTAGTCTGGCCCCGCTGTCTCCGCGCTCTCCCCCAGATCCTGCAGCGTCTGAGCTGTGTCCCAGACGTGGCCCAAGGTGGTGGTGTCTACTCCTGCGGCTGACTCTCTGGTTTTCATCTTCAGGTCATCTACTGTGTGCTTCACTTCGTGCTCGGGCGAGGTCCCCCGACTGTGCCGCTCGCTGTGTTCGCGGTTCTCATGGCCTCCGCGGGCTGAGCCCTCCCCCTCGTGGTCCAACTGTCGGGGTCTCAGGGGATGGGTCCGCTCTGGTACTGACGAGGTCCTGTCTGCCGTGGTGTTGGTCAAGTAGTCCGCGTCATGCACTCTGGGCTCGTCAGGGACCTCCGCCTCCAAACATTCGGCCCGTCTGAGCATCAGTTCCTCCTCCACGCGGTCGTCTAGGTCCGCGAAGGGGTCGACTTCTGCATCTGACCAGCCTGCTATTCCGCCCATCCTTACCGAACCTGGGGGGTTGTCCCCACGGTTTACATCTGACTTATCCTCGCCCATCCCTACTGAACCTGGGTGGCCAGGTCCAGGGTTCACGCTCTCCAGGCCGGGGAACTGCAGCCAGCCGCCCGCGTCGACTGGTGCCAGTGCCTCCCATCTCGCGTTGCCCAGCGCCGCCTCGAAGTTCTGAGGCGATGGGCGCTGCTCCTGCTCCTCCGTGCTCTCTCCTCCTGCTGCTGCTGCTGCCTTTGCCTGTGCTGCTGCTAACTCCTGCACTTTCCTCCTCGCCCTCTTGCTGCCCGGGTCGGGCGGCTTCTTCGGGCGGGGCGGGTGCGGGACAGGCTGGGGCATTAGCAGCGATCGGGTCCTCGTCTCCTGCGCCTCGGCGTGGAGCGTGAACTTCAGCCCGATCTGCGGCTTCCACGGCACGTCGTAGACAGCCTCAACACCCTTGACCAGTTTCTGCCCCTGCTCGTTGACCAACGCATAGTCGATCAGCGACTCCGCATCGACCAGCTGGCAGGTGTAGGCGCCGTCGGGCAGCGAGATGATGGATGATGCTCCCATCGCAGTGGGCCATCCCGAGTCCCACATCTCCTGCGGAGCCTTGTTGAAGTCGCCGCAGACTATCCACGCGCCGTTCAGCCCTTTCAAGAACGAGGCTAAGGCCGTCAGCTTGCGGGCGTTGATGCCCTCGCGCAGCGGCTTCCCCACGTCCAGGTAGAGGCTCGCCACCGTGATCGTCGTCCCCTTCAAGTGCCAAGTGCCTTGGGCCCAGTTACACAAGTCCAGGTCTGCCTTCACCTCACGTTGCTCACGTCGGTCGTCGCCTTCGTGACTGTGGTCGGCTTCGCCTGGCACCGAAAACTTGATGTGCGCAGGTGCCCCCTCATGACAACTGCGGTCCCCCCGAACGATCCCAGCTCTGAGCGCGTGCTGGGCCTCGCCGCCGTGAAGCACGCCTTGCACCCCAACTTCACAGTTTCGCACTCCGTGGCGTCGAGCTGGCTGGTGCCTATGTGCGTCTCCTGGAACGCGTAGGCGTCGCACCCGCATCCGAGCTTCTGCCTGGCCACCCACAGCTCGGCTGTGGGCCCCCAATTGGCGAGGTTCGCGCAGAACAGGGTGCGCTCGCGGGGCTCGGCGGCGCCGCCTCCTTGGCGCCGAGCCCCGCGCGCCTGTCCTCGGGCGGCGGTGGCCCCCCCCTGGGCCTCCTCCTCCTGCCTGTGTGCGCAGCAGCCTGAGGTGCTCCTCCGCGTCCTCGTCTCCGCCTGCAGCCGTGGCGCCGGCTGCCGTGCTCGGCGCGGCCTCCTTCGGCGGCGCCGCCGCGGCGGCCGCCTGCGGCTGCTCCTGCGGCGCTGCGGCGGGGACCTCAGTGGCGTCGCCTCCGCCTGCCTTCCCCTTCTTCGCCGCTTGCTGGATGGTGGCTTGCTGCTCTGCTGCCTTCAACTTTGCTGCTGCCAAGTGATCTCTGAGCTGCGCTGAGAAAGCCTGCGCGTTCTCCTTCATTTGTGCGACTAACTGCCTTTTTGACCTCCTCGACCTCCTTTCTGCCTGCCTCGTCCAGGTCGTGCGTGGACAGGTCTAGCTCTCTCTCTCGATGTCGGCTGTGGGTTGTCCTCCCGCCAGCGCCTCCACGTCGCCGCTGACGAGCTGCTCCAGGACGCCCTTCGGCGGGTCGCGGCCTTCAGCCTGGATGGCCTCCAGCTCGCGCTCAGCCTTGAGCGCCGCCGCCGCCTTCTCGTCTAGCTTGGCCCGTGCTGCGTTCGCCACCTCATCAGCCTTCTTCTTCGCCGCGAACGCCGTGTTGTAGCCCTGGTTCGCCTCCTGCAGCGCCTTGGCCGCGATGCCTAGCCGTTGTGTTCTTGACTTGGTCGGCTGCGCTGGCGCCGAGGCCTGGATCGCAGCTGCCGCTCCCTGCAACGTGCGCGAGATCGCCTCGCCGTTCTTCAGGTTCAGGTCGCCGAGGGAGGCTGAGCAGCTGCAGCGCCTGGGAGACCTTGTCGGCGCCCTTGGCACCTCCTCCTGCCAGCGCCAGGGCGCCGCCGCTGCTGCCTCCTTTGCCGCCGCCTCCACTCCAGTCGTCCTTCTTCGGCTTCGGCTTGGGCAGGGAGGCGCGGCAGGTGCACTGGTAGTTCCTGCCCTCGAGGCGCGTTGTCCACCACCACTCGCCGCACTTCTTGCACACTACGTAGTCGTGGCTGCCTCCCTTGCCAGCTGCGCCCCGCCCCGTCGGGGCCTTGCTCCCGTGGTGCTGGTCCAGCAGCTCGCGGCGAAGCAGCCTGCGGGCCTGGCCCCTGCGCCTCCTCAGCCGCCTGTGCCAGGCGGGGGAGCGCGACCGCGCCTGGCGCGGGCTCTCCCCTTGGCGCCCCGTCGGGGCTGGGGGCTTCGATCGCCCGCGGGGCAAAATGTTGCGTCGCGCGCGCGGGTCTCGCTTCGAAGCCACCTGGGGGGAGGAGGAGGAGGAGGAGGAGGAGGAGGAGGAGGAGGAGGAGGAGGAGGAGGAGGAGGAGGAGGTGGAAACGGGAGGGCGAGGGACGGCAAAGGATGACCGAGAACGGAGGAGGAGGAGGACGAGGAGGAGGAGGAGGAGGAGGAGGAGGAGGAGGAGGATATCCGCCCCTTCCCGCTTCCCACCCCCCCTCGCTCGCCGCCGGCCCCCGAGCAGTCGGCCGAGCAGTCGGCCGAGCCGTGGGTCGTCGGCCGAGCAGGCGGCCGAGCAGTCGGCCCAGCTTCGCCGAGCCGGCGGCCGAGCAGTCGGCCGAGCCGCGAGCGGGCGGCCCAGCAGTCGGCCCAGCAGTCGGCCCCGGCCGCGCTCCGTCGCAGCGCGGCGCCCCTGCCTCGCCGCCTCGGGCGTGCTCGCCCGTCTGCGGCCCGAGGCCTGCGCTCCCGATGCCCCCGCCGGGTCTCCCCGTCGTTGCTTCCCTCGTCGGAAGCCCGAGGAGGGGGGGGGGCGGAGAGAGAGGGGGGGGGGCGAGGGAGGGAGGAGGGGCTCAGAGGAAGGGAAGGGGGGGAGGGAGGAAGGGAGAGGGAGGGTGGGAGGACGGAGAGAAGGGAGGGAGGGAGGGAGGATGGGTTCAGAGGAAGAGGCTCTGCCTCTGAGCCCATCCTCCCCTGCTTCCTCCGTTCCATCGCTGGTCTGCCTGCCTGCCCCCCCCCTCTATGCTGTCCCTCTGGCTTCCTGCTTGCCCCCTTTTCTTGAAAGTTGCCCCCCCTCTCTGTTCCCCGCCCACGTCAGCCTGTCCCTCCTGCGTGCCTTCCTCGCCCTCACTGTTCTCTTCCTCATCCTCGTTCTCTTTCGGTTCTCATCCTCATCGTTCGTCTCCTCCTGGGCAGTTCCTTGACCCCCAAGAGGCCCCTACAAATCTGGAGCTTCTTCATCTGTCCGAGCTCCCTCCCCTCCTTCTTCTCGGTCTCTTCTTCTATCGACGGCGTAGGCAACCCACGACGACTATGACGACGACGACGACGACGACGACCTCGGTCGACGACGTCGAAGACGAGGACGATCGTCAACCGACCACTGGCGGCCAGCAACCGCGACGACGACGGCGTCCTCGGCGGCCGACGACGGCGACGGATGCTGACTTGACTAGTTATGACCTTCCGAATGTCAACCGTTGGTCAGCGCGGCCTTGGGCTTACGGATCAGAGCAGAGGAGGGCGGAACGAGGAGGGAGGAGCGCTGAGCGAGAGGGGCGAGAGGAGCGAGGAGCAGGGAGCGAGACATGATCGAAGAGAAACCAGGAGCGGAGGGAGGAGGAGGAGCAGGAGCAGGAGCAGGAGCAGGAGCAGGAGGAGGAGGCTCCCTCCTGGCGGGCGGGGTGGCTGGCGCGCGCAGGCTGGTCAAGCCAGGCCCAGCCTTGGCCGCGGCCGTGGGGTGCGGGCCATGGAGGCCCCGCCGCCGCTGTCGGTCGTCGGTCGTCGTCGGCCGTCGGTCCCAGGGGCCTTCTCGCCGTCGTACAGTCAGCCTGGGGCAATGATGGGGGGGATCCCCGATGATCCTCAGGACGTGTCTTAGCCCAATGTGTGTTTACACCGTTCAGCTCCACCAGTACTTAGATTATCACGTCCCCTGCGTCGTGTTGAAGGGCCTCAGAGGGCAAAGACACGTTGGCGCTGACACACGTCTTGAGGATCATGGTTCGTGCGGCGTTGACGCGCTGGCGACGCCAGCGAAGGCCCGAAAGGTTGAGTTCTGCGACCGAGGGAGCACCGAGGGGCACGCTAATGCCGTTGGACCCGCCTGGATTAAACCTTGAACAGTCGGGCCGCGATCGATGCAAGGGCGCCCTCGAGGGCACGAAGTTATCCGCGCTTCGCGCTTCGCGGTTCGGCTCCGAGTCCTCCTCCTCCTCCTCCTCTTCCCCCCTGGGGGGCGGCGCGAGGGCGCGAAGTTCTTCTCGCGCTTCGCGCCTCGCGCAGCGCGCAGCGCGAAGCTGGGAGCCCTCGGGTCGGTTCAAGATTGAACGATCGACGCGGCGTCAAAAACCTCTGCTCGCGCCGACGCCGCGCGAGCCCACCGCGTGCTCAGGGGGGGAACGCACCGAGCGGGGCCCGGAGGCCCGCCCCGCCGGGGTACGAAACGTGCGGATTCGCAGCCGGGGGCCCACCGCTGATCGATCGGCGATGCACCGCCGATTCACGGTGGATTCCAGCCGGGCCTGTCCCTCCAGAGGGGGGAGATTCAAGAATAGCCCCAAAAATAGTCTGGGGACCATGTTCTGACAATTGTTGAGCATTTTCAGGGCATTTTTGGAGCATCTTTTCATTCATCGTCCAAAATCGGCCTGTAGGGGGACAGGCCCGGCTTAAGCCTGTCGCTTATCGATCGGCGATGCATCGCCGATTCACGGTGGATGCTTCCCCCCCGTGAGCCAGCTTCCCTCCTTTTTTGGTTGACCTTCCTATCAGGCGACCGCAAACATGGATCAAGAGGGCGCGGATTAGCGACGCGTCCCGTTTCCATGGTAAATCGCGGATTTCCGCCGCCGAACGAGGCGGCACCGGCCGCATTTTGGGGAGGGCACCTCCCTCGACCCATGGAGTTAGCGACCGCGCGCCACATCCGTGGATCGCTACTCCATGTCTGCGCTCCCCCGACCCGAAGGTCAAGACGTTGGACCAAGGGCCACTTTGGGGCCCCGGAGGGGCTCTGGCTTGGGGGCTGTTCCCCAGATCTCGGCCAGGGACTGTTCGTGGCCGGGGGCCGCCGTGGCTGGAACAGTCCCTTCGTTCCCTATCCATCGGCCCCAGTGGCAGCACGATGGCCGTAGTCTGTAGTCGGTCGCCGCCGCCGTCGTCGTCATGATGGGAGGGGAGGGGAGGGACAGGACGGAGGAGGAGGAGGAGGAGGATTAAATGATTGACGCTCCGCGTAGTCCCACCAGCCTCCACGCATTTTTTGCGAATTAGCTTCGTACCGTGGCCAGGACGCCGCTTCCGCTCCCTGTCCGTTGCCTGGGAGCCGCCGACCAAAAAAGTAGTCCCACCAGCACATCTGGGCACGATTATTACCCGAGTTCTTACGCGAGTCCCACCAGCGAATGCCCAAACGCAAGGATGAGGAGGAGGAGGACCAAGAGGAGGACGAGGAGGAAGACCAGGCGGACGAGGGAGGCCCAGCGGAGTGGGATCCCCACGTGGATCCAGACGAGACCGCACGCTCCACCGCGGGGCTGTCGACTGCGCAATTGCCGCCACTTTCGTGGGCTACTGGGCGGCCAGCGGAGAGTGGCCCCCACGCTTACCCAGGCGAGACGTCGCGTTCCCTCTGGGGGCTGCCAGCTCTGCAACTGTTGCCACCTCTGCGCGCTCCTGAGAGGTCCCTGGGAGCGCCGCCCCACGCAGTCTCAGACCTCGCGCTCCCTCAGAAGGACTGCCACCTGTGCAAGCGTCGCCACTCTCGTGAGCTCCCGGGAGGCCCAGCGGAGCGCGGTCCCACGCAGACCCAGACGAGACCTCGTGTTCTCTCGGGCGGCTGTCAATCGTGTAACTCTGCCACTTTCGTGGGCTTCTGGGAGGCCCAGCGGAGCGCGGAGTGACGCGTGCTCCACGTGATCGTGTTTTGGTTGTCGTCGCGTGCCTCGTGTTTGCACTTGGCGGTGCACCGTGCACGTCTGTGAGAGTGCAACACAATTCAAACCCCCCATTGTACAGTCGGCCCGGATTAGTAGGTCGACCCTGCCAGCTCAAGGGTACCCTAAGGGTACCCTTGAGCTGGCGGCTAAGGTACCCTTAGGGTACCCTTGAGGTACCCTTGAGGGTATCCTAAGGGTACCCTAAGGGGAAGTGTCGCGAGGCACAGGACACAAGGCTTGTGTCCTGAGCCTCGCGACACGTGCCTTCTTACACTCCTATGGCGATGTGGCCCTCGGAGGGCTCTTGTGTCCTCTCGCGTGTCCTGTCCAACCAAGGCCGACTGCAGCACTTCAGGGACATCATGTCTATCGTCGAGTGCTTCCGTTGATGCTGCCGCTTGTTGCACACGGGTTGGGTACGTCCCTATCTGCTGTTCGAGAGGGCGCTTGATGCCCGTACGCACAGAGGGCCAGTGGGATGTAGAGCCAGCCGCGTGCTCACACTGGTCCGGCAGCGTTAGCCTTAAGTCGGGCCTGGTCTTCTACAGGGGGGAAATTCAGAAATAGTGGGGAGTATTTTTTTAGTATGTTGGGCATCTTTGGGGTATTTTGTGTGTCCTGTTTTATTTTTCCTCCAAAATCCCCCTGTAGAGGGACAGCCCCGACTCAACACTAGTCCGGCAGCGTGAGCCCAAGGAAGGGGCGGGACCGGGAGCAGGAGACAGCAGGGGCGAGCAGGAGGAAGGATAGTACGAGGACGAGGAGGGCGAGGAAACGACTAATGATGAAATGTTCCTCGGTTTCTAGCGCTCGTGGCATCGAGGACGACGAGGACGAGGAAGAGACTGAACATGCTTTTGTTTCTGTTGCTAGGGCTCGTGGCATCAGGAGCGCGGACCCACGGTGTATTATAAGATCGTAGCCGTGGGGACCCGCGTGTGCTGCATTTCCACGTGTTCCGGGGCACCTACACATTCAGAGGGCGTGATCCCGGCTCAGGAGGGACCGGTTTCGGGCCAAGAAGGCCGCGCCGCGTTCTTAGGAATTCAAGATGTCGCCCTGCGGCAGGCTGAGCAATCTTGTGCTCGGAGAACACGTGACTCGACAGTCACGGTTGCCAAATTCTTAAGATCTTTTCAGAGTCCTGATAGGCCCATCCCGCGCAGCCTGATGATGGGCCCAACACGGTGGGCAGTCGGATCCTCTTGTGTCAGCGTTGCCCGTTTCTTCCGTATGCCCCCACCCCTGCTGCTCCTCATCGGCCTCCATCTTCCCCTTCTCCCCTCCTACTCCTCCTCCTACTCCTCCTCCCCTCGTCCTTCTCCCGTGGCCTCTGTGAGTCTCACCCGCTTCTTCCTCGTTCCCATCGTCGTCTTTGTCATCCTCCCCCCTCTCAATCGTCCTCCCTCTCCCTCTCCCCTCCTTCCTCTCCGGGGAGTGCACAGAGGAAGGGCGAGACAGGTGACCGTGTCAGACCTCGACGGCATCGGCCCCCACGACATCATCTCGGTCCGCCACGGCCAGACGCGCCGCCAGGCGCCGGCGTCGGCGCTCAAGGACCGCAGCCTGAAGTTCCCCGCCCTGCAGGACGGCGCCGAGCAGGTCCTGAAGGTGGACGTGTTCGCGCCCGTGGCCGGGCACCGCCTCGCGCTCCTGCAGCACAAGCCGAAGTACTCCAGCCGGAGGGGGAAGAACTGCCTTCGGGTATAGCCAGGACCACAGGTAAGGGTGCCCGGCTAGTAGTAGGGCCCCAGAGCCCCTAAATTGGCCAGAATCACTGAACCAGGTCTGCCGTGGTTGGTGTGCTTTCGGGTGACGGCAGCTCCGGTTAGTGAAATGGGGCGGGGGGGGCGTCCCCCAGTGCACATCCTTAAACCAGGTCCCACTAAACCCAGTTCTGCCAACGCCCGATGCCTGTGGGCATGAACTTCTGGCACTCCGCGCGGAACGGAGCTGCGCCCCCTGGCGGCGCCTCCGGCGCCGCCCCTGGCGCGCGGAGCGCTCCAGGGAGTCCAGCGCCAGGCCCAGCAATCCGCTTTTTTTGGTCGCGGGCGGACGCGGATTCGCAGTCGCCGAGCTGAGAGGTCCGGGCCACGGGCCTGTCAAATTAGCTCAGCGCCAGGCCCAGCAATCCCCGCGGAGCGTCGATCGTTTCGTGCCTGTGCAGTTTGTTCCTCCTCCGTCCATCTCCCTCGAGGGCTCGGACGGCAGGGCGATGCGGCTCCGGCTCGGGGTGCGGCACGCCGGCCACGCCGCCGGGGCGAAGCCCGAGCAGCCCCCGCCCCCCGCGGAGGAGCCCAGCCGGGTCCAGGACCGGGCGGTGCCCGTGTTGCACCTCCTCCTCCTCCTCGTCCTCCTCCTCCTCCTCCTCCTCCTCCTCCTCCTCCCTCCCTCCCTCCCTCCCTCCTCCTCCCTCCCTCCCTCCCTCCCTCCCTCCCTCCCCCCTCCTCCCTCCCTCCTCCCTCCTCCCTCCTCCCTCCTCCGAAAGGCTTCACCCACGCAGAACGTTGAAGAGCAGGCTGCTGGAAGTACAGCCACAGCCTGGCGCTGAGGGTGAGCCTCTCGACCTGCCAGGGCTGCCTGCGATGCGAGGGGGTGCGATTCGAGTCGCCGGCTGGGGCCGCGATTCCGATTCGATTCGGTTCAGTTCGATTAACCGGCATCGGCCAGGGTCGGCCAGAGCCGTGCGCGGCGATTCGATTTCGATCCGATTCGGGACGATTCGCTGGTGGTCTGATCCGTGTCCGATCCGATCCGCTTTCGCGGTTCAGGCCAGCTCGGGCCTGCCTGCAGTCCTGGCGCTCCGTCTTTGCGGGGGTTGTTTTCCTTATCGGAGCCTTGTGAGAACAAGAGGACATGCCGCGAGCTGAACGATGTCTTGGCGATTTCGTGGACCACGTTCGTCCTGATTTCGTTTTGCATCTGCAGCAAAGGCAGAACGAAGACAGAGGGAGGGAAAACAAACAAAAATCGATATCGGAAAGCATTGTTCATTTAGCTCGAGCCCTGCACGAGGACTCGGCGGCGCTCGCGCGGCAGTACCTCGAGAGGCACAGCCTGCTGCAGTACTTCCAGAACCTGCTGCAGGCGCCGTGCTCCCCTCTGGGTCAACGTTCGGGAGGGGCAGGGCTCATTTCGACTGCCCCGACATCGATTCGCTTCGATACTGATCGTTTCCAATGCCGATTCTGACTCGGCTTTGGACTCCGACTTCCACTCGGGCTTCTCTCAATGGAGGCCTCACCAGCCTGCCACAGCTCCCGCCGATTCCACTTCCCCCGCCTTGGCCGCCGATCTCCGCCGAGCTGGCCCACTCCGATCGCCCACCGATTCGATCCTGGGCCCTCCTGGGGATGGGCGCAGGGAGGGACGCGTCGACGCCCAGTTGCCCTCGTCATCGCCGGCCGGAGCCCGAAAGGCCCACCCCGCTGAGGAGCGCGCGGCTTCGCGAGGCCGAGAGGTTGACACTATTACCGGCATCGGCGGTGTGCCTCCAGCGATGCAGGATGCTCTCGGTCTCGGTGATGGTGATAACACTGTGGTGAGGAGCTTTGGCGCAGCGTGTCGCGCCGCCGGTTCCGGCCCACCCCGCTTCGGCGCGACACGCTCGACCACCTCCCGATTCCCCAGCGTCTGCGCCCCGAGCTTTGCCCAGTCTCCCGCACCGCGGCGCGGAGCGACACGCTGGCCACTCGCAGGGCAAAGCGTGCCTCCTCCTCCTCCAGATGGCTCGGGCTTTCTGGGTGGCCGACTGATTACCACCAGCACCAGCACCCACGATCAGCTTCCCCTGGTGGATGCAGCCCCCTTGTGTTGGTGTTGGTGCCCAGTTCCACGCCTCCTGATCGAGAGCCTGTCGCTGATCCATCCGCGATGCATCGCCGATTCCGGGTCGATGTTTCTCCCCCTCAGTTGGTGCCCCCCCGTAGTGTTGCCCATCAGCCGTGCCCCCCCCCTCCCAGACCTCCGGGGGCCGGAAGGGCACGAGCGGGCGCGTGTACCTCGCTCGCTCCCGACACCAAGCTGCAGAACATGCCTCCTCCTCCTCCTGGTCCTCCTCCTTCTCCTCCTCCTCGTCTTACCCCCTCCTCCTCCTCCTCCTCCTCCTCCTCCTCCTCCTCCTCCTCCTCCTCCTCCTCCTCCTCCTCCTCTTCCTCCTCCTCCTCCTCCTCCTCCTCCCTTTCCTCCTCCTCTTCCTCCTACTCCTCCCCCTCCTCCTCCTTTTCCTCCTCCTCCCCCTCTTCATCCTTGCAGTTCTCCTGCCCCTCACCTGTTGTCCTCCTCCTCCTAGCCTCGGGGGCCATAGCGTGACAAGGACCACCATGGCGTCGGATGCTGGGCTGTGTGTCCTCGGCATCGTCGGCAGGTTGGCAAGAACGATCACGGTGCGCGGGCTTGCCGCATCGCCGCACGTCCGAGGCCCATGCTTTGCAGCATGTGGTCGAGGGTCTCGCGCCCGCTGCGCTCCTTGGATGCTGGACTGTGCTCCGTTCCCTCCTCCCTCTCCTCCTCCTCCTCCTCCTCCTCCTCCTCCTCCTCCTCCTCCTCCTCCTCCTCCTCCTCCTCCTCCTCCTCCTCCTCCTCCTTCTCTCCTCCTCCTCCTCCTCCTCCTCATCCTCATCCCTCCTCCTCCCCCGCCCCCCCACGCTCCTCCTCCTCCTTCTCCTCCTTCTCCTCCTCGTCCTTGTCTTCCTCCTCCTCCTCCTCCCCCCCCTGTCAAGGACCCCACGCCGGGCTGGTGGGAGGGAGGCGTGAGGCTCAGCAGCAGCAGAAGCTCTGGGCACGACGTGGGCTCTTTTGTGGTGGTCGTGCGGGACCGCCGCGCGCCCCCCGCCGCCGCCGCCTCGCTCGTCTTCTTCCCAACCATCCTGCGGCGTTGGTGACGCCAAGGCGGGTGCGTTGCCCCAGCGAGCGGAGCCCGAGCTTGGCTCTGATGAGAGCACTGGGACGGCATAGGGTGCCGATTGGTCACTCTTCGGGTCAGCGCTTTGAAGAGACAGCGCCACGCGTCTCATCTCATCTCCTCCTCCCCCATCCCCTCCTGCCTCCTTCCGAATGCCCCATCCCTGCCTCTTCTCTCGGCATGCCCAGTTCGGCCCACGACTCACACGTTCCGCGGCCCCATGGGGAGCTCCAAGGAAGCCCCCCGCGGCACGGTCCGCATAGCGGCCCCGCGCCCAGTTCGGCACACCGCTCACACGCTTCGTAGCCCCATAGGGAGCTTCACCAAAGGCTCCAGCGACAGGTTCCGCATATCGTCCCCGCGCCAATTTCGGCCCACCCCTCACACGGTTCGTGGCCTCGTATGGAGCCTCCACCGAAGGCCCCAGCGGCAGGGTCCACATGGCGGCCCTGTATCCATGTCGGCGCACCACCCACCCGTTTCGTGGGAGCTCCACCGAAGGCACCTGCGGCAGGGTCCGCATGGCGGCCCCGTGCCCATGTCGGTGCACTCCTCGCACGCTGCGTGGCCGCATAATTAAGGGGGCTCCACCGAAGGCCCCAGCGGCAGTGTCTGCATGGCGGCCCCGCGCCCATTTCGTGGCCCCATAGGGGGTTCCGCCGAAGGCCTCAGCGGCAGGTTCCCTATGGCGGCGCCAGAGCGTTGCTCGCTCGTGTCGTGGCCCCGTAGGGAGTTCCAAGGAAGGCCCCAGCGACAGGGTCCGCATAGCGGCCCCGTACCAATTTCGGCATCAGGTGTTCACGCTTCGTGGCTGCATAAGGGGGCTCGAAGGGGGGCTCGAAAATCCCTCTGTAGGGGGACACGCCCGACTTAATGCTACTCCAGATTTCGTAATAAAAGGGAGGGGGTCTCAACCCTCCCAGACGAGAAGTTTTAGACCCCCCCCCGTGGGAGAACCCTCCAAAACATCGTCCCCAGACCTCCCCAGGCCCTCCAAGATACCCTGGAAGAGACCCCCCCCCGAAACGAGACCCCCCTCCCTTTATTACGAAATCTGGAGTACCCTTGCATCCTTTTCCCTCCGGCCCATCCCTGATTTGACGGGTTGACCGTACCCCCGCCCCCCCGCGAGGTGGTGGTGCAGGCAAGGCCCGAGGACCCCTACAGGTTCTTGTGGAACCAGTTGGGCTCCTTCCTCGTCTGCGAGGAGGAGGACCAGGCCAAGAAGGACTGACCTCTGACCACCCAGGAGGAGCAGGAGAGGATACTGCGAAAGAGGAGGAGGAGGAGGAGAAGGAACGAGGACGAGGAGGAGGAGGAGGAGGAGGAGGAGGAGATGGAGGCTAGGACGGAGGAGGAGGAGGACTATAGGACTGCAGGGCATGCGACAACGAACTTCGAGACTGTGGAACTACCGGCGCAGATCCTCGAGATTGGTTTCTGTGTCAATTTTGGGCGGGCCTTTCACACAAAGGGTGGGGCCACGAGCGATCCGCACCAGATGTTGTTTCCCCTTGGGGGTGGGTGCCACATAAGGCTTGCAGCGGTACCTGGGGGTCGGTGGTCGCAGACATCCCGCACGTACTGCAGAAGACGAGCTTGTTTTCTCCCCAGTACTCTGGGGGCATGGGCTTCGTTCCAAACCCGCCCTCCCAGGACCCGCCTTCCGCACAGGGGCGCGATCCTTGGGGGAGGGGCAACTTGGGCACGCACCGCAGGGGCCACCTTTTACAAATTGGAGCGGCTCACGAAAACATTGCATTTTCTGCGGTAGAACTTCGTGCCCAGCCTACGCCAATCGTGCCAGGAGGCTCTCTTGGCCTCCTCAAGCTTCGGGATCCGAACGGGGCGGGGGGCCGAGGTACGGGTTTCGGTCCAGGGGGCGGAGGAGGAGGAGGAGGAGGAGGAGGAGGAGGAGGAGGAGGAGGAGGAGGAGGAGAAGGAGGAGATGGAGGAGGAGGAGGGGGTTCGGTTGAGGAAAAAGAGGCACGGGGGCAAGTGATGGATTTGGGGGCGATAAGGGGGACCCAGGAGGAGGAGGAGGAGGAAGAGGATGACGACCACTGTGATTCCAGCGTGATGCGAAGCATGAGGAGGAGCGTGGTTCCAGTTTGTCCTTTCGGCTTGCACCATGGGGAGATCACATGGTTAGTTCTGGGAGTGTTGGGAAGAGCAGAATCTTGTTTGTAGACTCCCCAGCGGTAAGAGGAGGATGACCAGAGAACACAGTTCAGTTCCAGATGTTCCCTTCAGGAGTCAATGCAAGTATCGGCTGTTTGGCTTCCATGCCTTCTCCTCCCTGGCCCTCACTAGAAGACAGACGGGCCCTCAGAGGCCGACAAGAGCAGCTCAGGAAGAGGATCATGATGAGGAGGATTGTCAACAACCACAGACGCACTTCTTCGTAACAAAAGCGCAGCAAACAACGCACTGAGACACCACGATCATAGCTCCCGATCCCGTCTTCATGCTGTGGCTCTCGAGCCGGGTCGATCGTTCCATATTTATATTGCACAGTTTGCCTGCTTCTCGATTTTCTCATCATCACCATTATCATCATCGTCACCATCATCACCATCATCATCAGCAGCATCATCAGCATCACCATAATAATCAACATCAGAATCCGCATCTTCATCCTCATCAGCAGCATCATCCGTAGCAATTTGGGCTCAATCCATTTTGGCTCAAGTAAACCATTTTTCGAGGTTGCGCAGGGCCGTGTAAGCTCGGGGGTCGCAGACGCCTGCCCAGGCAGACTCTGGGAGCCTTGCCCTTTCGTGAGCTCAGCCGCTCACTACACTGCACAAGTCGTTGTTTCACATCCGTCTACACTGCGCGATGTCGGATGTTGCCATCTTGACATAGGTGCAGAAGCTCGCTGCTGCAGTCAGTGGCATCGGTGGGCAGCTCACCAAGATGCAAGCAAGCTCTGCTGCCAGCCTTCAAGGAGGAGATCAAGGCAGACATCAAGAAGCTCGACGACACGGCTGTCGAGCTCGAGAACCTTCGGATCGGATCGAATCTGCACCAGCATCATCAGTTGCCTCCTCTTCTGGTAGTCATAGGCGCAGGATGATTCAACCTGGCACGGGAGGTGCTGGTGGTCGTGCTGCCACTGACGACCTCACCGCTTCCGACACACGCGACCAGTGTAAGGTATGGATGAGCGGCTGGCCACGCCCAGTCGTTCGTGCTCAGAGGGAGACGTGGCACAACACGCTGTTCTCTCGTCGTCTGCCTGCCGAACGTAAAAACTGGACCGGGACCGAGTTCGCTGGCACCAGCCAGAGCTACATGATCAAGTTCGAGACGGCCGAGGACGCTAAATTTTTCAGGGGGTTTATCTGCACATTCAGTCCCACATGGATTGGCCCGCGTGACGAGCGGGAATATCACATCACATGCGGGCAAGACCTGGATGACGCCAGGGAGCGCCAGCATTTGCTGTGGCGCTACTACGACCCGATTAAGTAGCACCTCGCCATGAACGGCCTTCGGTCATATACCATGCGCGTGTCTGGCAATGGCTTCCGCGACGAGTTCTGGATCATCAAAGGCGAGGATGTGCACGCTATCCTGAAAACCCGCGTCGGCAACCTGGGCCGCTTCATTGTCAGCCCAAACGAGCAGGCGAGCATGGCCGTCGGAGCGAACGTGGGCACTATCACTATGATTGTGGACAACATTGCCTCGCAGTAGGATCTCCGCAACCACATGGAAATTCTCATGCCTGGTTTGGAGCGGCTCTGCGCGGGCATGGCAGTGCGTTCGCTCGATTGGCCTCTGCGCGATCAGCTAAGCGCGAGAATGGTACGCGCTCTACTCGATATCCGCCGTCCCCTTCTTCTCCGTCATTGCTGGCATCGTCTTCTGGTTCGTCCCCCACCATGCTCTTCTACTTTCTCATCTGTCTCTGGCACGGACGCCGCCTGCAACATGATTGACACCGAATTCGCTCCACAGCTACCATGCGATCCCAAGACCGATTTCAGGGTCGTCTCCTGGAACATCCAAACCCTATGTGTGGCGGTCGGGGGCGAACGCGCTCGCCAGGATAAAATATGACTTCGCCTTCGATCGATCGCTCGCCAGGCTGTAATCCTGTCGCAGGAAACCCATGGGCACCACGGTGACCTTGAGTCCCTTCGTAGCGACTTCCCTTTCTTTAAATGTCACGGTTCATTTTTCTTTACGCGCAGCGGTGGTAGCATTGCAATAGTTTGCAAGAGTTCCATCGCGGACTTTTAGTAATATCAAATTTCTTCTTTTGGCATCTGGCAGAATATCAGCACGTCAGTGTTCGGGTGCGAATGGCACGATGCACGTATGCAATGCGCAGATCCCGCCTCAATATCCCAGCAAGATCCAACAATTTGCCATCCAGCGCCTTGCTAACCACATGCCAGGCAACGCGAAGGCTGTCTCCATCGTGGCAGGTGACTTCAACAGCATCTGGCCTGATGGCTTTCGCTTCTGCACCACGAATGCAGACCCCGCGTGCAGGGCTGACTCTCTTCGTGAGTACATTGACAGGCTATTCTCATGGCTAGTTGAAGTTCAACGAGATGATCCAACGCGCAGGGCAATGCATGAGGGAAAGATCGTCTCTGCTGCCAGAATCGACAAGATATGCTGGTCGGCGCCGACAGGGGAGATCTGTGGCTGGCACCCCTTCTCATCAGTTACCAGGAAAGTTACCGATCTTCGCAGACCTAGTGACCATTGTCCCCCCTACCTTCGGTCCCAGCCAGGTCGGCCCGAGTCAGACGGCATCGTTGCTCTGGTCGCGTCGCGGGTAGCTCGGAAGCCCGCCATTCCAGACATCCCGCGCGATCCTCCAGACGATTGGCATCCCTTTTCAGCGGCTTCAATTCCTGCAGGAAGCGATGCACTTCGCAGCAAGTCTCACCGAGGACCAGCTATCTGCGCATGGTCCTGAGACGCCGGCTGAGCGCGCGAGCAGGCGTTTCGCCTCGACGCGGGCGAGGTGGCGCTCCGACGGCCGCGCGGCCTACAAGGCAAGGTGCGCTGTTTCAGAACTCAAAGCCTTCATCTCGGAGGACATCCGCTGGCTAGACATGGCTGGTTTTCGTGAATATATGCGCCGGGACGCCGTTGCGCATCTGCAGGGACAGGAGGAGGGGGTCAACGCTAACGAGGGGGCCGGGGTAACGTTCAAAGCTAAACAGGAAGACGAGCTACAGCGCCTGCACGCTGCCTGGGCCACGCGCAGAAGAGACGTCTAGCCCTCCATGCCATCGTCGGCCCCGATGGCCAGATTCACGCTGGCCGCGCCGAGAGGGCATCTCACCTGGCCCAGTACCGCGAAAAAGCACACGAGGAGAGAGAGGTGGGGGAGGAGGGGCGGGGGCGATACCGCAGTTCGGTGCAGTCTGCTTCTCGCGATGCACAGTGGGAAATGACTCTTGGCACATTCAGAGACATGAGAAAGCGCATGCGCGACGCCGCGCATGGCCCAGGCGGCGTGCCATTCTCATGCTATCATCACGATGGGGGGCGCGCTAGTGGCATTCTATATGCTGTCTATGCATGCTGGCTTGCTGGAGAGGACTTGCCCGAGGAGTTCAATTACTGCCGCGTGGTCTTCTTGCCGCCGAAGAACCTGTTGCCTAGTGAATGCATGGACATTTCGCGCGCACCTGCTACTACTAGACCGCTTCCTCTCTCTCTCTCTCTCTCTCTCTCTCTCTCCCTCTCTCTCTCTCTCTCTCTCTCTCTCCCTCTCTCTCTATCTCTCTCTCTCTCTCTCTCTCTCTCTCTTTCTCTCTCTCTCTCTCTCACTCTCTCTCTCTATTTCTCTCTCTCTCTTTCTCTCTCTTTCTCTTTTTTTGCCCCCCCCCCCTCTCTCTCTCTCTCTCTCTCTCTCTCTCTCTCTCTCTCTCTCTCTCTCTCTCTCTCTCTCTCTCTCTCTCTCTCTCTCTCTCTTCCCGGCGCGTACGACAAGCTAGCGACGCACGCTATCGGATCGAGTTTAGCACGGCAAGCACAATGCACAGTTGACTGCGCTCAAACGGGCTTCGTTAAGGGCAGGCAGATGATCGACAATATCGTGGGACCATCGTCGACGCACGCTCTGTGGTGGGTCGTTGAGGGACGTCGAGATTGCAGGTCGACCCCGGTCGATTTCCGCGCTGCATTCCCGCCTCTTGGATCTCATGGGTGCTAGCGGCCATGTCGCTTCCGTCGTGCGGCGACCGCGGCGCGCGCGCATGGGTGATATGGCGCGGCTTCCTGGCCTGCTCTGGCATGCGGAGATGGCGCCCCGCGAGTGGTTCCAGATTCGCATTATGCCTCGATCCAGTTGTCCGGCGCATGTTGCATTCGACGTCGGCCTCCGTCCTTCATTAAATGCTTCGCATACGATTTGGCATGTGTCTCGAGGAATCTCTCGCAGACCATGCATTCGATCTTCAGATTACTCATTTGCTGCGGCAGAGCTTTGGGACTTCGTGGGAATGCGGCCAAGAACTACGTCATCTGTCACTTGCAGATGGACCGGATCACCATTCTCTCTCGTCTTCGTGAGTTTGGAATGAGAACCCCGTTCGACACAGTTTGTGAATGCTGGCACTTACCTCGGCATCCGCATCGGCATGAATGATAATGGAGATTCATGGACGCAGCCTCTGGAGAAGTTCAAGTGTCGGATTGCATTATGTAAGAGCCTATCGCTCGGCTTCGCGGGGGCTTTCATGAGCTGCAACTCCCGAGCGCGCAGCGCGTTGACATATGTGGCGCAGTGTTTTCGACCAGCTGCTCGCGCTCTACGCGCTCAACGAGAAGGCCTTCAAGCGGTCGCTCGTCGGCCGCGGCGGCCGCGGTCGCTCGTCGGCCGCGGCGGGCCGCGGCGCGCCCGCCTGAAAGACGTCGGCATCCTTGCCGACGCGAAGGAGATTGAGGAAACAAAAAATCTCGTGCGGCCCACTACAGAGATGCATGTCGTTCTGGTGTATTCCAACGGTTGGTTGACTCGCGCAACGAAATCTTGGATGGCACCAACTGGCTACTGACTCACAGTATGTTCGAGCACGTGAAGAAGAGCCTGCTCTTCCAGCTTAAAGGCAACTGGCGTGCCATGTCATCGGTTCCTGGTTGCCCTGATGACCCTTGGTGAAGAAGCTCCCAATGGAAGATTTTTCGTCTGCTGCCCGTGAATCAACGAACTATTGCCCCGTGCCTTTTGGATCGCATGAGATATTGGCAAGGGAGATTGCTATGATACCAATGATGCTACGGTCTGTCTGATACGATTGCAGTTCGTGGCGCCACGCGCGCCAGCATTCAGCATGAGCAGCGCTGCCCAGACCCGCAGCAACGAATGGGCTACTTCTCCGAGGTACCGCCAGCCAACGGCTGCTTGAAGTTCCTGTTGTACTAAGCCCGCATGTGATCGCATTGTTCATTATTTGTGTTGTTACCCTGCTCTGTGTTAACTCTCTCATATGTTGCCGCTGTTTCCACGTTCGTATATCTATGGTGATAGCCGTAAGTGCTTTCCCCCGCACCTTTTTCGAATGGTCTCGCCCTGAAGAGCTTGATTATATTGCCATCGGTATTGGCCTGCTCGCTGTAATTTACCATCGAATGCGCTCTTGTGGATCTCATCTGCCTGATGTGTTCCGCCGCTCGTTGCATGGCCGTGCTCGTTAGATCGTGAGGAGAGGCCTCCAGCTTCCCCCTCAGTTCTCGACGTTTTTCTCTGCAGGTCTGCCACCCCCACTGCTTAGCTGACCTTGCGCTGCTTTCAGCATATGGGTGTGCCCTCTTCTTGCTTCTTGCCGCTTGGCCTCTTCTCGTTTGCCCTCTTCTCGCTTCTTGTCCGCCAGCCTTCTTCTCGCCCCTTGCCGCCAATTGGAGTCCTGATCATCATCAGCAGCTTCATTCGTATCATCCGTTCCATCATCATTTCAGTCAGCAGCATCAGCATCAGCATCATCATCAGAAGCAGCAGCACCATCATCATCAGCATCATCATCAGCATCAGCATCATCATCATCATCATCGTCATCATCATCATCATCTTCATCATCCTTTCTCCTCGGCCTCTTCCCCCCTGTCTCCTTTCTCCACCTCCTCCTCCCCCTCCTCCTCCTCTTCGTTGCGGCTCGCCCGAGTCGGTTTTCCGTTCACCTGGGTGCGTCTTTTTTCCTGTTTTTCTTCCTAGGTCTTCCTCGACCTCGCCCTTGCCTCCTCCTCCCTCTTCCCTCCTCCCTCCCCCTCTTCCCCCCCGCCTTCTTCCGCCCCGAAGGCCGCGCGGAGGGACAGCGAGGACACGGAGGTCGGCTCCCCCGGCGAGGCGGAGGTCGCCAAGAGGGTGTCGGATGCCCGTGGCCGCCGCGAGGCCTCCGACCAAAGCGCGATCGCCAATGCCGTGCGCATGGTCCAGGATCGGCGGCGGGGGGCGATTCCCCGAGGAGGCAGAGATGTTGATGTCAGCTTGTCGGGGTAAGTGATTGGAAGGGTGAGCCGGGACGCGATGAGATTGGCGTGCTGCTGGCCGTGGTGGCTGCGCGCCTTTTTCTCCCGCCGCCCTGTTGCCTCGCGCGCGTTTTGCCCGACGTCGATCGCGACGAGGCGGGCGGGCGTCGGCCCGCCGACACTGACGCTAAGAGCTTTCGCTCATCGTTCGGCGTGCTTCGGGAGATATCGATGCCACTGCTCGTCCTGGACAGCCCTCGTCGCCGCGGAGCGATTTGCCTCAACTTTTTGTCAGAACGCATTCCAGGAGTAACCTTAGGTCGGGCACGTCTTTCCAAGAGGAATATCCAAAAAATAGTCAAACATAGTACGTGGACGATTTTTCAAATGATCTTTGACCGTGATAGAATCTTTCGTGGTTCCTCTAAATTTGTCTCGCAAAATCCGCCGGAAGGGGGACATGCCCGACCCAGGAGCAGCGGCATCGGCACCCATGGTTGTTCCCCCCAGGCACCGATGGCGCCTCGAGCAAACAAAAGTACAGGAGGGCAACTGGAAAACTATCCAAGATACGAGAGAATAGCCCGAGGGAAGGGGCACACATCACAGCATCGGAGGGTCGGGCACCAGCATCAGGCGGTCGCAAACACGAACAAGGGGGCGTGGATTAGCGACGGGTCCCGTTTCCATGGCAAATCACGGATTTGCGCCTCCGAACGAGGCGGCGCCGGCCGCATTTTGGGGAGGGCCCCCCCCCCCCGATCCATGGATTTGCCGACCGCGCGCCGGATCCATGGATCGCTAATCCTGCGCGCCCCCGACAGCACCAGCCTTGGTGCGGCACATTTGGGCCCGGGATTTCGGTGGTCACCGGCGGTCTCAGTGGCCATATTGGATCTTGGGCCAAGATCCCCTCTGTGAAGGGCCAAGATCCCCTCTTGGGCCAAGATCCCCTCTTGGGCCAAGATCCCCTCTTGGGCCAAGATCCACTCGGAGGAAGTCCCCCTCCAATGGAGGGGGACTTCCTCCGAGTGCGAGCTCGGGTTTCTCCTTTGGGGCCCTTGGAGGCGCCTTTTGGGCGGCGTGGGGGCCGTCCTGGCGTGATTGGGGGAGCCTCTCGAGGGCCTCCTGAGGGGGCCTGCTGGGCGGTCCCAGGGGCCATCTTGGACGGGGGTTCCCAGTGTCAGTTCGAGTTCTCCCTCTTAGGGCCATCTTGGGGGTCCATTATTGGTTCTCGTTTGGGGGCTTCGGGTCCACCTTGGGGCGATCTTGGGATCCTGTTGGTTGATGGTCGGCACCTTGAAGACAGACGGTCCAATAATGCTGGACTCCTATTGCACTTCGTGTGTTTCAATAACTTTGCCCTGTCGGGCCGGCCCCCAGCCCCTCGAAGACGGCCGAAGAGGGCCCCGAGAGGGCTCCAGCACGGACACGTGGAATTCCCAACCTGTTTCCCAACCGACCTGTGTTGTTGGGTCCTCGTTTTGAAGAAACGGTCCCCGCGTCTCCTCATCCTCCTCCTCACTCCTCCCTTTTCCCCTCCTGTCATGATCAGCATCATCATCATCATCATCATCATCATCATCATCATCATCATCATCATCAGCATCATCATCATCATCATCCACATCATCATCATCATCATCGTCGTCGTCGTCATCATCATCATCATCAACATCATCACACGTTTCGTTGCCCCGTAGGGAGTTCCGCCGAAGGTCCCAGTGGCACAGTTCGCGTGCGTCCCCGCCATTCATTTCGGCACACCCCTCACACGCTTCGTGGCCCCATAGGAGCTCCGCCGAAGGTCCCAGTGGCACAGTGCGCATGCGCCCCCGCCACTCATGTCGGCACCCCTCACACGTTTTGTGGCCCCATAGGAGCTCCGCTGAAGGTCCCAGTGGCGCAGTTCGCACGCGCCCCCGCCATTCATTTCGGCACACCCCTCACACGCTTCGTGGCCCCATAGGAGCTCCGCCGAAGGTCCCAGTGGCACAGTTCGCACTTCGGCACACCCCTCACACGTTTCGTGGCCCCATAGGAGCTCCGCTGAAGGTCCCAGTGGCGCAGTTCGCATGCGTCCCTGCCACTCATTTTGGCACACACACACACACCTCACACGTTTCGTGGCCCCATAGGAGCTCCGCCGAAGGTCCCAGTGGCACAGTTCGCATGCGCCCCCGCCATTCATTTCGGCACACTCGTCACACGTTTCGTGGCCCCATGGGGGCTCCGCCGAAGGTCCCAGTGGCACAGTTCGCATGCGTCCCCGCCTTTCATTTCGGCACACCCCTCACACGTTTCGTGGCCCTGTAGGAGCTCCGCCGAAGGTCCTAGTGGCACAGTTCGCATGCGTCTGCGCCATTCATATCGGCACACCCCTCACACGCTTCGTGGCCCCATAGGAGCTCCGCCGAAGGTCCCAGTGGCACAGTTCGCATGCGTCCCTGCCGTTCATTTCGGCACACCCCTCACACGTTTCGTGGCCCCATAGGAGCTCCGCCGAAGGTCCCAGTGGCACAGTTCGCATGCGTCCCCGCCACTCATTTCGGCACACCCCTTACACGTTCCGTGGCCCCATAGGAGCTCCGCCGAAGGTCCCAGTGGCACAGTTAGCATGCGTCCCCGCCATTCATTTCGGCACACCCCTCACACGCTTCGTGGCCCCATAGGAGCTCCGCCGAAGGTCCCAGTGGCACACACAGTCCGCATGCGTCTCCGCCATTCATTTCGGCACACCCCTCACACGCTTCGTGGCCCCATAGGGGCCCCGCTGAATGACCGAGTGGCACAGTTCGCATGCGTCCCCGCCACTCATTTCGGCACACCCCTCACACGTTCCGTGGCCTTGTAGGAGCTCCGCCGAAGGTCCCAGTGGCACAGCTGGTACGCGTCCCCGCCATTCATGTCGGCACACCTTTCACACGTTTCGTGGCCCCATGGGAGCTCCGCCGAAGGTCCCAGTGGCACAGTTCGCATGCGTCTGCGCCATTCATATCGGCACACCCCTCACACGCTTCGTGGCCCCATAGGAGCTCCGCCGAAGGTCCCAGTGGCACAGTTTGCATGCATCCCCGCCATTCATGCCGGCACACCCCTCACACGCTTCGTGGCCCCATAGGAGCTCCGCCGAAGGTCCCAGTGGCACAGTTCGCATACGTCCCCGCTATTCATTTCGGCACACCCCTCAGGAGCTCCGCCGAAGGTCCCAGTGGCACAGTTCGCATGCGTCCCCGCCATTCATTTCGGCACGCTCGTCAGGAGCTCCGCCGAAGGTCCCAACGGCACAGTTTGCATGCGTCCCCGCCAATCATTTCGGCACACCCCTCACACGTTTCGTGGCCCCATAGGAGCTCCGCCGAAGGTCCCATTGGCACAGTTCGCATGCGTCCCCGCCATTCATGTCGGCACATCCCTCACACGTTTCGTGGCCCCATGGGAGCTCCGCCGAATGTCCCAGTGGCGCAGTTCGCACGCGCCCCCGCCATTCATTTCGGCACACCCCTCACACGCTTCGTGGCCCCATAGGAGCTCCGCCGAATGTCCCAGTGGTACAGTTTGCATGCGTCCCCGCCATTTATTCCAGCACACCCCTCAGACGTTTCGTGGCCTCATAGGAGCT